ATTTCATGGGAGTTTGTCAACATCCTTAAAACATGGGCTTCCCTGCCTAATCAGACACCTAAACTGATATTACTATAAACATGTAAAGAGAGGGTATATGTACATCATTTAAATTACTTAAAAACAAGAGAAAGTTTTTCAAATGTAAACACAAGTGAACAATTCCAACTGCCTTAAAGAGTTTATAGAAAATTTTTTATTCATGCACATGAGAATGTTTATTTGAAACCTATACATCATCACGCTTTCCCAGACTATATCCATGTTATAAAACAGCTATCCTCCCTACAAGCAGTAAGTACACTTTACTTCATTCAGATATGGGTGTGAATGTGTACTTTTAATTTAAATAAACACTCTATATCACCTCAAACCATCCACTTAAGTCCATCCTTTTCTACAACAGCCTCTCATCAACAGAAAATTATGGTGCAGCCTGGCTTCTCTAGAGAGATATTTATCACACCTAAGAAATGAAGAACTAAGAGTGCAGGCTGTTTTAAATATGAAAATTCATCAATAATTAAAAAGAATGGAAAATAGTCAGGTGCAAGAGACAAATGGCCAAATAAGTTTTAGTACATAGTAAACCTAATATCAAGCTGAAGGTCCATGGGGAAACAATGGAATAGAAGAAAAATTCAATTAAATTTTTTCTCACATTTAACGATACAGTAATATTCATAATTCTGAAAAAGAAAACAGTAAAATCCTTTCTAAGACAGAAGATGATTTACTTCATAATAAACAGGTTTTTAATATAAAAAATGTTTAATGCACTCAATGATTTTTAAGGTGGCAATTCATGTGCCATGTATAAATAAATATCAGATTTATTTTTATTTGTAAATTGACAAACTATACTCATACATTTGTGGGGCACAAAGTGAAGTTATCCTTCAAGAATTCAATGCTAGTTGGGTATGGTGGCTTATACCTGTATTCTCAGGCACTCAGGAGGCTGCATCAGGAAGATCACAAGTTTAAGGCCAACCTCAGCTATTTAGGGAGGCCCAAATCAACTTAATGAGACTCTGTCTCAAAAAATGAAAAGGACTGAGAAATAAACATCCCTAGATAGTAAAATGTCAAAGAATAATTAAATGAGTCTATTATGGAGATCCATTACTTTTAAAGTTCATATACTTTAATTTTCATCATTTTTATGGTGAGAACATTTGGAGTTTATGCTCAGCAATTTTGAATTCTACACTATTATGTACTGCATTCACCACCCTGTTCAATGTATCTCAATAAAAAGCAGATCCTATTCTTCCTGCCTTCCTGAGATTTGTACCTTTGACCTTCACATACACCATTCTGGCATACACCATTCTACTCTGTCTTTAAAAGACTAAAAGTGTCAGAATTTACATATAAGCAAGAACATGTGGCTTTTGTCTTTCTCAGTCTGGATCGTTTTACTTAGGATAACATTCTCAATTTTGTCTATGGTGTCACAAATGGTAAAATTCCTTTTCCTGTGGCTGAACAGCATTCCCTGGGGCATTCACCCATTTTCCTTATCTGTTTGTTAGCTGTCAGACACTTAGATTGATGTCCAAATTGACTGTTGTGCACAGGGCTACACTGAACACAGGAGCGCAGATCCCTCTTCAACTAATTGACTTCAAATATTTTGTGTGAACACCCTGAAGTGGGATTAATAGATCCATTTTTTTTAAAAAAAACATCATTTTCCTAATTTGTTTACCTGTCGAAACAACACATTAAGGCTATAAAGTCAAAGTGGCTCACGCTCTACACAGGATTCAAACCCAGTTCATCAGTTACATAGGTAAGAGGAATTGCTAAGATGCCACTTGATTCCAAGAACAGTCGTAAACCACTG